TTCGTGTCGTAAAATCATTAGAAAAAAATGTATTTGTCTAAAAAAAAAAGAGAGAAGAGAGGGAAAGAAAGAATTCTTATCGGTTCGACCTGTTTCACACACAACTCCCGCATCTCATACAAATACAATCGAGGATTTGGCCATTTTTATTCTATCTACTTATACACTACGCATTTTATTGTTCTCGTGGCTCTTATTTCGACTGTCTTGAATTTCACCTTCAACAAGTCTTTCTAAAATACATATATGTCTAATACTTTTTAAATATTTATATTTAATAAATACAAAGTTTTCGCAAATTTCTTTTTTATATTCGGATCATCGTCATTTTTTTCAATTACTTTTAAAGCTCCTTTTTTCAAGGGAGTTTTTGAAGAATAAAATTTGAATTTTTGTTTTTAAAATGAAGTAAAAATTTGTTTAGATTTTGGTTCCCAGAGAATTTCATGAATTACAAATTACAAATTCAATTATTCAATTACTATTTTCTGATTACATTTTTTAGTAGAGAATCTATCAAAACGTATTTATTTATAACTACTTTATGAACAAAATACGACGTACAGGAAAAAATTATTTTTACAATTGTTCATTTTTTACGTTGAATTAATAATAGTTTTAAAGAAATAAACAATTTTTCAGTCAAAAAAATTCTTTTGAATTTTATACTAGAATGATTCTGCATAAAATCTAGTAAACATTTTATAGAATTGCACTAAAACAATTCAATAGAATTTCTATATAAATTCTAGTAAATATTAGATGTAGAAATTTACCCAATTTTTTTATAGATATTAATGAGTCATAAATTATTAATATTAACATATTAATTGAATTTCGCGACAATACAATTAATTAATTTGTCGACTAGATGGAATGTAAATTCGCTCATAAACGAAATGAAGCGAATAGAGTACATGAATATTATAAATTACAATACTAAATAAATTGTAAATAATTTTACATAAATTTTACTAGAAAAATCTTATAGAAAATTTTATAGAAAAATTCTATAGAATCAATAAAATAAGTATAATAGTAAAATTCTACAGAACTTTTCCTACTGACTTGTTTAAATAATTATCGTTAAACAATTGAAAATAAGAAAACAAAAAAAGTATTGTACATTTTTTTTGTTTTCAATTTGTCTATTAATCCAATTAATTATTTTGAAATACAATAATTATAGTTTCTCCATATGGGAATTAATGTATTGAAAAAGTTCTAGACTTTGTCAAATTTTTATACAGTTATAATTCCTGAAGAAGAAAATTATTATTTCCTTTTCGAAATAAGACTAATTGCTTTGGATAACGACGAATACAAAAATTCAAATCGCATTCTTGAGTATTTAAGAATTGTGGCTCATCATTTTGCCATTTTATAAAACTTTTTTTTGAATAAATAACATTTTTTAAATTCGGAAACAATAAGTTTCGAAATTTTCGATTCGGAAAGTTTCGGAAAAGTGTCCTGGAATCTTAATTTTTGTTTAAATATTTAACAAGTTAATTCTTTTTTCGGTATGTCCTTTTTTCTTTGGCAAATCTGTAGAAACTGTCGAATGGAAAAATATTTTACAAGAGGTTTTACTGTATTTTTAATAAATTTGCAGTTAAAATTCGGTTTTTGCTGTGATTATTTTACAAAAGTATTATTATTTTTATAATACTATGAATGTTATTATTTATCATTATTTTCATCATTTACTATAACCATTTTTATTTTTTGCTAATTTTAGTATTTTCTTTTTACTATCTATTTTCAGTATTTTCTTTTGCTATGTTTAGTATTTTCTTTTACTATATCTTTAGTATATTTTATTTTCCTATTTTTCATATTTTTTACTACTTTTCTCTTTCTACAGAATAATTTTACAGTATCTAGAAACTAGGATTTTATATAGGAAAAAATTCAATTCTATATTACACAGTAAAAACTCTCAAATTGGAAAATGTTCCCTAAGATATTCTACTGCATTTTGTAAAATTTCGTCATTTTCGAATTTCATCAAATTTTACATTTAGTGGTCCTACCGTAAATTTTCACATTTCAAAAAGTTAAAATATAACATTTTGATTATAAAATTTAATGACAAGACTACTGTATTTTTAAGAATTCAATTCTCCTATTTAGAATTTACAGTTGCGGAAAAAGATCTCTAGTATGAATTGTATATCTTTACCGTGCATAACTCGAGAAATAAAATCACTGATTACTCAACCTAAGATCGTTATAAAGTACACAAGTAATGAACTACTGTTTTCAGAAAAATTTATATATATATATCTAATCAGCTGAACATCCGTTAGAGTTATATGGCACTCTCTGTTGTTTTATATAGAAATTCGTGCGAAAAATTTTATTTCACCTCTTCTATGACAATCATGCATTGTTCCCCAACAGAATTCATTCTGCATTTTAAAAAGGAAATACGGTCGAGTCATGTGGGTGCGATTGATATCACATATATATATATATATATATATATATATATATATATATATATATATATATATATATATATATATATATATATATATATATTTTAAGAAAGTGTTTTTCAGCCTTGCAAAGAAAGTCACTTTGGATTTGGGACAGGATGAAAGTGTTGGATGATGGTCAGCTTAATTTCAACATATATATATATATATAAAGAAATATACAAGTAGCACGATTTTCACGCTTTTTAATTTTATTTCTCGTGTGAATGCGACACTGATCTTGGATTCATCATTTTTTCTTCTTTAATTATCTCCACCCGTTTGTAATTGATATAACAAAAATAGAAATTTCAACTCTTCAAATTTTTATTTTCTCTTTTTATGAAGAATTTTTCTCTTCTTCGAAAAAGAAGAAAAACAGAAATGAAAAAAAAGTATGTACTGTATAGGAAAAAAAATGATGAATCGTAAAAAAAATCGCTTGACTTTAAAATGAAAATTTTCCGCTTTGAAACGAAAATATTGCTTCTTTTTTTCGTCGAAAAAAATGAAAAGGACCCAGATTGTCGCTACGGGGGAGTGGAAAATAAAATTTTATATGGAACTCCATAAAAGTCCGAAAATGGCACTTGGAGAAAATCGAACTTTTCAAAGAGTTCCATAAGTTTCAATTGTAAAAAATTCCATTTATATATAAGCTCGTGTTGTAAAAGTGTTTCAATATTTTTTTTAATCCGCAAAAATGTATTTATGGTAATGCAAAATCGTTTTAATAAAAAAATACGATACAGACTCTAAGGAAGCAATTTTGCATAGATTTAAAAAATTTTCAATTTCCTTCTGAAATGTTTAGTGTGAAGTATATTTTTAGTTAATTTTGTAGTATTTCTCTCAAATTTTTGAAAAGTGTGAAAATATTTTACAAGAGATTTTAAAGTCAGATGAAATTTTTTTTTATCGAAAATACTTTTTTTGGGGAGAAATCCCATTTTTTTGTGGTCTTGAGATAGAAAGACTTGGAATTTAAAAAAAAGAAAGAAATCGGAATCTTAGATTGCTAATCATGACATAAAATGCAACCATTATGAGCATATCGGTATTACGCCAATCGATTCACACGCGTGCATTATAACATTTATATATATATATATATATATATATATATATATATATATATATATATATATATATATATATATATATATATATATATATATATATATATATATATATATATATATATATATATATATGTATATCAGTAATCCACAATCAACTTTGTATGATTATGCCGATTGCTAAGGCACGCATGTTACACTCCTATTCAGAACGTCGAGCTACATTTTAAATTCATGAATATCGTTAATCTAATATTCTTAATTTTCTTCTCAAGTCAAGTTAATCGATCAGTGCCAAGCTTTGCAATTATTTTAACATCCTGGTTCATTCAGTCATCAATTTTAGGATCATTTCCACGCGAGGGAAAAAGTACAAAGAAAAATACAAATTAATTAAAAATATCAGCAATTAAAATTAAATTTTTTAAATTAAAATTCAAAAAATACTGAAATTCGACGTCTAAATTTTTCCATTCGAAAAGTTCTACATACTAAATTTTAATTCACAAAAAATACATTCAAATAGATTTCAACAATAAAAAATTGTTGATTGTTGTCTTTCTATACGAAATGTTGAAAGCCACTTTTAAAATTGATGAGACTTCCTACTTGAATTAGGCGGGGAACAAAAAGTGAGAATTTCAGGACACGCTAGATAAATTATAGAATACGAGAGAAGCATTTTAGATAAATGATGAGGATCCGAAATCATTGACCCTTCGGTTAAGAACGAAAAAAACCCGTTCCTGGAACGCTCGTGGAACCATTCTCTATATTTACTTCCTATATATATATATATGTATATATAGTTCATTTTGGAAGTTTCAGGAGATAACGAAGCCCTTTCTAAAGCGAATAAAGACATCGAAAGCTTCTTTTTTTTTGAGACGCAGATTCTTTTATAATCTCAACGACTCATAAACTATTTACAGACAAAAATAGAGAAGAGTTGACTTGGTCGTTTTCTCTTTCTCTTCCACTTACGACCTAAAGTTTTTAGAGACACTTTCAAACAGCTGCTTTGTCACAGAAAAAAAAACCCCTAAGTCCAGCTGTCTTAATCGAAAGAGTCGTTTAATTTTTTTCAAGATTTATCTAAAGCCACCACAAAACGAGAAAACTGTTTTCTTTTCTATTTTCGTCACAAAAGACACTCTTGTATTTTTCCTCATCTTGAATTGTTGTTAATTTTAACAATTTATTGTAGTTTAATTTAATTTATTGCAATTTCATTAAATTTATTGTAGTTTAATTTAATTTATTGCATTTTAATTAAACCTATTGTAATTTATTTTAATTATTTTAATTTAATAATAATTCTCAATTACTCGATTTAATAATTTTCAATTATTAAATTTTACTTACTTTGGGGAACGAATATTATTAAATTGATTTTTCCATCAATTCTCGAGTCAATAATTTAATTATCAATCCGAGAACTAATTTTACTTATTTTTACTATCACATGGAATTATTTATATGTTTATTGGCGTTTCTTTAATATTTGTTTTTTTGTTGGACAAAAATGTGAACAATTTGAAGAATGTAAATATTTGGAGAAAATATTTGGAATGGAAAATGTTTAATATTATGAGACGGTATTATAAATATTTGATATTTTATTGTCTCCTGAAAAGTTTCGAAGTAACATTAATTTTACTGAATCAAAAGTTGGAAGTGTATTATTAGTGCGGTCAGTGACCCAGTGACTATTTAGATTCTGTAATTTATTCTTCTTCCTGGATTGTTCCAATACACTGCTTGCACACCTGGTTTGTTCAACAGGATATTGTAAGTTGATTACAGGGGCAAGAACCCACCCTGAATTATCAGCAATCTTAATAATAGTAATCTTTTCAATTTTTCTAAGGCATTCTATATATATATTTATAAATTCATTATATTCAATATTTTTTTTCATCGAATTATATTCTTTTTTATATATACTATTGTATACTATATAATATAATATTTATATTTCATATCTATCTATCAATTCAGGAATTTGTATTCTTTTTTTGGAAAAATATTTTTCACGGTTTTAAAAATACTTTTTTTTAATTATTTTAGCCGCAGAAAAATAAATTTTCTTTTCGTTGAAATAAAAATTAAATTATAAATCGAGAAATGTGGGAAGAAAATAAAACTTGATTTCTCCAATTACGTAACAATGGGCCAATTTCAAGCCCTAGGGTAAAAATAGATGGAATATAAATAAAAATGTAATAAGACAATGCATATAGCGTTTTTTAAGTTCTGAAACTTGTGGTGAGCGGGTATAATAAAAGATGTTATTTTTTTTCTTTAGTTCTCACATTAAAGAAGTTTGTTCTATAAGAAACCGTGATAGAAGTCAGGTAGTTGTAAAAATTCTTCTAAGAAATTCCCTCCCAGTTATCTCATAAACTGGTCGAGATATCTCAGTTTTATTATTATTTGAAATCATTCACGTCGCACATAATAATTAGTATTCGCGATAGTTAACCTCCAGGTATATATGTATATAGAAACTAATCGAAATTTGCATACAGTCTCATCTCTTTTCAATATAGTGAAAATATATTTTTCAAACCAAACGATTTAAAAGAATCTCATTTTTCTCATTCTTTCTATTTGCGAAATAATTGTTTATTAAGAAAATTTTTTAAATCGCGAAAAATTCTTCACGAAAAGAAAAATATTTTTTTCAATGAAAGTTCCAGAGATGTAGAGAGATATCTGATTTTTTTTTAAATGCAGAATAATCTTTGGATAGGAAGGAAAACAGTTTTCCTTTGTGGCATTGTAATTCGTTGGTGGTGAAAACGTTTTTATCATTTTCATTTCTCTTTTTTTGAATAGAATTTCGGTATATTTACATGAATAAAGGATTTGAGGGAATCCTTATTAAAGTGAAGCCAAGCTAAAGATGGGCCAACACTTCGACAGCTGCAACCGGAGGCGTTTGATCGCCACTAAGAATGACGGGCTCGGATTCTGTTTGAACAATCCTGACGAGATTCGCGTCCTTTTTCGATGGTACCAATGTAGCTGTTGGTGTCACGTTCGCTCGTCCACAATAACTCGGCGGTCGACTCTCTCTCGTTGTGGTGCAAGGCGTCACAATGCTTCCAGCATTCGACCTATAAGTTGGCGGTGGCGATGACGTAGGTTGCAGACGGTCCAGCAGTAACAATCGAAGTCTATATTCCTGCATACTCGCCTGAAAAATAAAAAAGAATTCAGTCTTTCTTCTTTTCCCTTTTTTTTTAGTGGCAATTTTTCATTTTAAACGTAATCCATATTACCTTTACGGTACTCATCTTTTTTTTCGAAAAAAAGAGCTTAGAGATTAATTAAAAGAAGCTTTTTATTTTTATCCATGAAAAAAAATGAAAAATGTCAGAATGTTCTTGAAAAATACATTTTTTGAGAGAGAGAGAAAGAAAGAATTTTTTATCGAAATTATTTCTTACTAAACAATTATATAATTCAGTTTACAATAAAAGAATTATGCGATTTTGTTAATAAGCACGAAATTTTTTTTTCAATGGCCTGAAATAATTTTAGACTTAAATAAAACAAAGTTATTCAATAGTTTTTATAGATTTGTTTAAGAAAATCATTAAAAAAAGGAAAGAGAGAATTATTTAATTTGTAACGATATTTCCTTTCATAAATGTATAAAATATGAAAATCTGATATTTATTTTGTAAAAAAGTTTCATTAACTTTTTTTACAGAGATAAAAATTCGCTTTATCACAAAAAGGAACGTGTATGTTAGAAATTCTTTTTAACATTCTTTTTATTTTTTTTAATACAAATTATTACATTTTATCAGAAAAAAGTGATTAGTGATAATTTGGGAAAACAATAAAATTTAAATAAAAAAATAAAATTTCTTTTCAATAAATAAACATTAGGGAGCGTTCACAAATTACGTAACATTATAAAGGGGAGGGGGGGGCCTAGCTATTTGTTATGTACAGCAGAAAAAATGGCGCTAATGTATGTAACAGTGTGTTACATGGGGGGAGGGGGGGTCAAAATTTTCAAAAATTAGCGTTACGTAATTTGTGAACGCTCCCTTAGACTTAGACATAATTTTTTATCTTTTATATTAATAATCATTGTATTCCTGTAATCTGTTCGCAGTTTGAAGTTAGTTGTTTAGTTTTTTGTTTTCTACCTTTTTTGATAATTTTTCTTTTTAAATATTTTGAATTTTTAAATTAAGGTTTTCTTGTGTTCTTCTTTTTCTTCTTCTTCTTTCTTTATAATAATTCTTGCAAAGAATTTTAGCAAAAATTTTGAAAATAATTTAATTCCTTCCAAGAATTTTCTTAAAACTTTTTAAAATAATTAATTAAAGAAGAATTTAATTAAAAATTTTGAAAATAATTAGGTAAATTATTTTGGAGAATTACTTTAAATTTTTCGAAAATATAATTCAATTATTTTAGAAAATTGCTTTAAATTTTTTGAAAATAATAGTTTTTTAAAATAATTTTAACTGAAAATTTTGAAAATAATTGAATTTTACTACGCATTACTTTCAAGTTTTTAAAATAATTCTGTTTGTTAATAATTGTAATTAAAAATTTTATTATTGAATTTTATTACAATTTTTCGAAAATAATTGAATTCTTCGCCGAATTTTATTACAATTTTTGAAAATAACTGAATTCTTTTGAGACATTTTATAAAAATTGTACTAAAAATAGATAATCGAATTCGCATGGGAAGAAACTTATTATTTATAAAATTAATTGAATTCTTATAAAACGATTTATCAAAACTTTCAAGATAACTTTCTATTATCTAAAGAATTCACTCTTTAGGAAAATTGTATTGCAATATTTAAAAATACTTGAATCGATTTGAAAATTTTTTTAAAATTTATTAATTATATTGTAAATAATTAAATTTCTGAGAATAATAAAAATAATTAAATTTTTCTGAAGAATATTATTATTTACGAAAATAATTTAATTCTGGCGAAGAATTTTATTAACATTTTTTTAAATAATTTAATTTCTTCGAAGAGTTTTCTTAAAACTTTAAAAATAATTTATTTCTTACGAAGAATTTTATTATTAATAAATGAATTGTTTTAAATTTTGAATCCAAAATTATTCTAAAATTAAAGTTGATAAAAATAAAAATTTTGTAATTTGCATAATAATAATAATAAAAAATGGAAAACAGTGCTTTGAGCGCAGGACGCGCTTCACATATTGGCTAATTTAATTAATTTATTATTATTATTCGGTTTTATTATTATTATTATTATTCGATTTTATTATTATTATTATTACTAATTAATAATAACAAAAATTTAATAACTGCTTAATTAAATTAATTATTTAAAAAGTAAACATCTAAATACTGTTAAATATTCTTTTTATTCTGTGCCTTCATTTATATAATGAGGGAGATTAAAATATATAGAATATCAAGTGTTTGACAATAAAAGAGAAAAAAGTTTTTTTTTTGCTACTACGATTTAACGAGTAAACAAAAGTTGGCTATAAAAAACTTATCCGATTTCAGGATGTGCACAGCGGAAAAAAAATATTCATAAAATCATAAATTCTCTCACGAAATGCTTCTTGACTCGTTACCAAGTGCATATAATAAGATCTCCCCAATGCAAAAGGAAAAAGACGGAAAACATCAGTTCACCTTTGTATCTGTGCTTTTGCAAATTAGTGATTTAATTTCTACGATGAATGGGAGTTATAATTTTTATTTCAACTTTGCCTTTGGGGCTGATGTATGAAAAGAATTTTCTTGAAACAATTTTTCTCTTTTATTACTTCAGCAATAATAATATCCACACGAATCTCGACAATTTTTTTTTATTTATTCCAGAAAAGTTTCTTCTACACAGAGATAATTATATAATTTCACTTTTTGAAAATAAGAACTAAAATAATTTCTTTCTATTTTTAATTCTCAATTTTTGTTTCAAACAGTTTCAGAAAAGAAAATATCTTTATTTTTATTCATTGTTATTATTCATATTATTATTTGTGTTATTACGTATTCATTATTATTAAACCCGTTTATAATTTAAAATAAAAAAAAATAAAAAAAAAATTATTAGTTATTTTCATATTATTAAAATTCTTATTATTTATTTATTATTAAAGGGGTTACAAAAAATGCACTTTCGTACATAGTATTACTATTTAATTTTTGTTTTGTTTCAACTATTATTTTGTTTACTTGAAAATGAAAATATTTGTTTATTCACAGAAGAACTGTTGTCTAGGTTGTAAAGGTTGTAAATATTTAAATAGTTTATAATTAGCTTTAACAAGCTTTTAATACGGCTAATTTTGTTTATTTCCAAATAAAATTTTTTATTTATTTATACATGTACAAAAACTGTTGTCTAAGTTGTGTATGTATATTTAAATGGCTCAGTTAATTACCGAAAAAAAATATATACATATATTGGAAATTCCTTATAAAACTCTAAATTGACAGTGAAAATAATTTTTTATTTTTATAATTATTGAAAATAAAATAATTGCTGGGAATTTATAATTTCTCTCGGAAATGTTGAAAAGTAAGTGAACGTTCAAATTATCAAATGCTATATTTTGCCAACTCATAACGTGACCTCAAAATCTAGTTATTCCATCTTTTATCTCGTTATACTTTCTCTTTAATCTATGTTAATGAATCTTTACAATGTCAAGATCACTCTCGGCAAAGTATATATATATATATATATATATATATATATATATATATATATATATATATATATATATATATATATATATATATTAAACAACAACTTCAAACAATTTCAAAAAAAATTTAATTAAACTCTTTTAAAAAAATTAATTCTACAGAATTGTTAGTTAAAAGTACACTGTAAAAAAAGGGAGTTAAATTTTAACTCCCCAGGGGATTCTATAAAAGTCGCACCCATTGGGGAGTTAATGCCAGGGGAGTTAAATAAAGAGAGTTAAAACTTCACACCCAAATGCTAACTCCCCAAGGAAAAAATAACTCGCGCGGGTGTTAAATGAAGGGAGTTAGAAATTAACTCTCTTTTGGAGTTGATTTTTAACTCGAAAAATTTCACTCCCAACTCCCGAGTCCGTTAACTCCCTAAATTTTTTACAGTGTATTAAGAATTCAGATTTTCAAAGATTTTAATGTAAACTCTTTTCAAAATTCAATTATTTATAAAAATGTATGCTATAATGCTTTTAATATTAATAATATTATTAATTATTATCTAAAATTTAAACAGAAAATTATTTTTAAATTAATTTTTATTAGAAAATTTTAGGTTCAAGAATTCAATTACACTGTAAAAAATTTAGGGAGTTAACGGACTCGGGAGTTGGGAGTGAAATTTTTCGAGTTAAAAATCAACTCCAAAACAGAGTTAATTTCTAACTCCCTTCATTCAACACCCGCGCGAGTTATTTTTTCCTTGGGGAGTTAGCATTTGGGTGTGAAATTTTAACTCTCTTTATTTAACTCCCCTGGCATTAACTCCCCAATGGGTGCGACTTTTATAGACCCCCCGGGGGAGTTAAAATTTAACTCCCTTTTTTTACAGTGTATTTAATACAAAAATAAATAATTTACGTAATAATTGAATGTTTTTTAAAATTTAATTCTTATAAAAAAATTTATCAACAAATTTTTAAATAATTGAATTCTTTTGGAAAATTTGATTAAAATAATAGATATTGAAAATCATTGAATTGAGTAAATTTTTTTGAATTAATTGAAATTTTGCCAAGAATTTTATTAAAATCTTTGAAAATAACTGAATTTCGAAGAAGAATTTTATTAAAATTTTTGAAAATAATTTAATTTCTTCGAAGAATTTTCTTAAAAGTTTTAAAAATAATTGAATTCTTATGAGAAATTTTATCAAAATTGTACTGAAGATAATTGAATTCATTCGAATAATTTATCTACCTATCTATGAAAATAAATGAATTCTTGCAAAGAATTTTATTAAAATTTTGAAAAATAATTATTTAATTTCTTCGAAAAATTTTCTTAAAACTTTTAAAAACAATAAATTGAATTCTTTCGAAAAATTTTATTAAAATTGTATTGCAAATACAATTTTATTTTTAACCAAAATTCTTTTATAAATCCATTCTTTTTCATAATTAATTAAATATAGGGGAGAGTGGTCCTAAGTTGGCCGCCTAAGCAAATTGGTCGAAAATAGTAACAAAATGAAATTTAATCACTTCGGCAAGTATATATTAGTGTTCAGAGATCGTTTTGCTATAATTTTGTGGTATTTAGAACGTTATAGAATGACTTTTGTAGTCTTAATACAATAAATCGTGAAAAGCTGCATTTTGGACATTTCAGAAATAGCGGTCCTAAGTTGGCCACCACTTTTTTTCGCTTGAGTATAAGGAAGAAATGCATATTCTTTTCAATTACGCAGAAATTTTACAAATTTGATACATTTAGGAGAATAAAAACGCATTATATAACTATTTTTGTTTAGAAAATGAAGCAATATTTTATTTCATTTATTTTCAGTGGTGGATGGCTGTAGAGACAGGCGTTTTTGTACTTCATTTTTTCTAATGTTTTTTAAACCATTTTTTTTTGTTTTTTGTCTTTGTTTAATTCCTACGTTACACTTTTACGGTCTTTCTCGTGATAAAAAACACAAAAAAGAAATAAAACATAAATAAAAACAAACAAAAACAATAGGTGGCCAACTTAGGACCACTGTAGATTTTTACAAGTTTCAAATTATTACGCTAATAAAAAAAATTTATTTAAAAAATCAAAAGAACCTCTTATTACAACATTAAATAAAGGAACTAGCGCACACACTTATTTAGAAATTTTTAATTATTTATCTCTTGTAGCTGCTCTCGAAAAAACAAGAAAAATCAAATTTTTTTGGTCAAAAACAATATTATTGTCCTCACAATGCGTAGAAGAATCTTAGATTATAATTAGGTCCATAAATTATATCATGGTTTATCAATATATCATACCACAAAATTATAGATTCGTCCAGTATACCATCTCTGAGAAATGCAGGGTGGCCAACTTAGGCCCACGGCCAACTTAGGACCACTCTCCCCTACGTTAAAAAATTTAACTAGTTTCAAAAGAATTTGAATTATTAAAATTTTTCCAAAATTCGAAGTTTTTTAAAATTATAAATTCACTCAAAATTGAAATTTTATAAAATTTTAAATTAAAATCTTTTCAAGTTCATCTGTTTAGAAAAATTGTAAACGCAACTCTTTTAAAATTCATTTAATCTTGAAATATTTAAGTAAAATTATTGATTGATTAAATAATTGATAAGTTATAATTTTATAATATAGTTCTTCAAGAATTAAGTTACCTATTTAAAAAGAAATTATTGTCAAAAATGGAGAAAATTGAACCCTGTAGTAACTCTTTTTTTTGCCACAAAACAAAAAGATAAAATTTTTTATTCTTACTAAATAACATTTCGTTTCAATATTAAATTTTGAAAATAAAAATTTGAAATTCACTCTTAAAATGAAATTTTGAATAATGTATATTGTTCTTGGAAATGGAAATTTAAATGAAGAAAAAAAAGCGTATATTAAAATTTGTGCGATGGCATTTTTCACAAGGTATAAAAATTATATTTATTTAAAAATGGTGGGGTATGAGTATGAATATTTTCGGTATAAGTATTAAGTGCATGAGAAAAATGCAATTTAGGAGTTGTCAGCCAAGAAAACTGAAGAAACGATTTATTATCGTGTTCTTGAATGGATATATGATTGGTGTACACTAAAGGAGAAAATGCGCCTCACCTGGTAGCTTGGAGGTGGGGTCCTGAATTGAAATTCGGGATAAATCATGGCAGCGTATGGATGCATTGGCCTTGCTGGTGGAATCCTTCCCGAAATACCCGTGAAGCCAAAGAAACTCCCGCAGTTTTCTCGACAGGTCACTCGCCATGCCACTGCACTCACAGTCACTAATACGACACCAATACCTATAGAAAAATTTACGAATAATATTTATTAATATTTCAATCAAATTTATAACCTAATATTAAAACAATTTTTAAGCGAAGAATCAATTTATTCAATATAGAAATAACTTATTAACATAAAAACAATTTTTTTAATTAAAACTATGAAAAATTAGGGGACTAACACTGGCACTGCACTGCTGGGAATCAAAACCAAGGACAAAATTTTGACGTGAATTTCGAAATGCAAAATAGTTTCGAAAGTGTCATAAAATGTTCATGATAGTTTCAAATAGTTGCAAATACTATTTATTTAATTAATTTTATTATTATTTTAATTCATTTACACTGCAACAATTTATTTGATTCAAATAACCGATCTCTCTAAAATCATAGTTTTAACTGCCAATCAGTGACTGACTTTTTGCTTTTGAATCAGTTAAAAATAGCTGATTGTTAGTGAAAAAATGACTGATTTTCAGTAAAAACAAAGTCTGAAAAATTACTTAAATTTGACTAATTGAATCAGTCAAAAAAACCAATGAAATATTAGTTATTTTTAACTGACAGCCTGTTATTTTTTTAAGTAAATGATCAGTAAAAATATCACTATTTAAATTAGTGACTGACTTTTTGCTTCTAAATCAGTTATTTTTAACTGATTCCAATTTAGAGAGATTACTTGTCTATTATCAAATAATTATTTACTTGAATCAAATAATTTTTATTCAAATCAATTTCTCTAAATTTGAATTAATAAAAATGTTTACTAATTCGAATTAGTGACTGACTTTTTGCTTTTTGTTTTTTAATTAGTAAATTTTACTAATAAATAGTAATTTCTACTAATTTATTAGTAAAATGTACTAATTCAAAAGCAAAAAGTCAGTCACTAATTCAAATTAGTATTAAACATTTTTACTAATTCAAATTAGGGAGATTAAATCGTATTTGCTTCAAATACAGAATTTATTGGTTCAAATATAATTTATTTGATTATATAAAAATTATTTGATTCAAGAAAATATTTATTTCATAATAGACATATGTAATCGATTATCTGAATCAAATAAATTTTTTTTTTTAGTGTAAAAGTGACCAAACAAGGAGATTTCGAATCAAAACCACTGTTAGGTATTAAAAAAAACAAAATACATTAAGAAAACGATTTATTTGATTCAAACAACTTTTATTTAAATCAAACTTAAAATATATCTTTGCTATATCTATTTTATCAGAAACGTATGTTTTTTATAATAAATAAATATTATAATAAATAAATAACTAACTTAAATTCTGTAATTTTGTTTTAAATGCACTTTTGAAATATTAATCCTACTTTTCTTGTACACCAGAACCTTGATTTAGCGGTCGGTTCGGTGCAATATTAAATACTTTTCTTGTATCAAAATTTTCACAAGATTTATAAATTAATTTTTGCAAGAAAATTTAGCTTAATTTACGACCTTTATTATTGTTAAAAATTTTCACAAAAATAAATATAAAAATATATGAATTATTAAATTTTGTATGTGTTTTTATTTTTTGTTTAGCAGATTCAGGAAGAAGGCTTATAAATAATGAAAAGTTATAGGTTTTTGTTTACGAAATCGAATTTAATCCTCTAATGATTAATTTTTAAAATTAACTCAGTTTCGCCATTTTCGATTTTTTTAAATATGACTTCAGATTCGTAATCAGCGACCCTAAAAACCCCCAAGTAACAAATTTTAAACAGATTTGCGCAATATTTTGAAGATTAGAAAATCTTTTAGGGTATGAAGCACAATTTTAAATTAAAAAATAAAAAAAAATTAGTAATGGATATTTTTCAAATATTGAACGTGCAAGTTTTTTTTAAGTATTTTTATTATTATTTTTTTTAATTTGGTTCTTAGTTAGTTAGTTTTCTACTCACACAGAAGAAATAAATATTATTGTAAACTTTCAAAAGTATCTCAATAAAAATTTTTTACTGTAACTTTTTTTCAAAGATTTTTTATTATTTTATTTATCATTTTATAATATGTAGTAGTAAGTTATTATATGGTCCAGACAAAGAAAATATGTTTTACTTACTTTTATAATAAAAATAATAATTTTTCCTTAATTGCCCCAACTGAGAAGCAATTATGGAACAAAATTTAATTTTAAATAGTTACGTCAAAAAAAAATTTTTTATGGAAAAACTTGGAAGAGACCTTTTGAATGCATGTTCTATACATATTTGAATAGATAAAAAAAATTTATACAATTTTTTATAAAATTTAAAGTTTTTGTGAAGAAGTAAATGAAAAATAATTAAATATTAATAACTATACCTTGGTTAACGGTATGAAATCTTATAATTATAGTTTAGGAACAATGATAAAATGTAAAATTTTAATGTAAAAATTCTAAATCTTATTAAATGTTCTATGAAATATTTTTTTAGATTTTTAACAAATATTTACTAAATACTATAAAAGTGTTTTGACAAACCAGAAATATTAAATTCCGATTTTTAACAAATTGAAAAATACATTTATAAAGTTTCATTATTGTTTTTTTCAGTGAATAAAAACCATATTTTTTAATATAAAAAACAATTTATTTATACAAAAATAAAACCATATATACAAAAGTTGAAAAAAATTAATATAAAAAAGAGAAAACCGTAAAAAAGGATAGTAAACACTTCGATTGTGTATATTGTATATACAACGTTTAATCCGAAAAGATATAACCGTTTATAGTTTCCCTCTTTCGATCAAACGTGACGAGTAATAAAATTTTTAAATCGCAAATAAAAATTGTAAATGTTCTGAGAGGAAACAAAAAGAAATATAGCAAACAAAGAGGATGTGTATTTATTGTGAAAGGGTTAAAATACCGTGGTGTTTCATTTGAAAATTGCTATTAATCGTGGGAGTGATTTAGGAGGAGAAACGAAAGTCTTCTGCCTCTGAGAAAAAGTATGGCAAATGAGTCTATGAAGATTATTAGGCACAGTATCATGTATATACGAAAAAAAGTATGGCACTCTATAATCTCTCGAGTGAGAGAAAAACTCTCATTTGCTACACTTTCACACTATACTCACACACACACACACATAAGCTCCTTCATCAATTGAAGCCTGTAATTTAATTATTTATACTCTATCATTATACTTTGTCTTAAATTACTTTTTTCAAAAACAAAATCACAAAAGGAAAGTATGGTACCTTGTTTTTTTATCATTTTTTTATTATATTTTGTTGATCTCTTCTAAAAATAAGATACTTCATTTATTATTATACTAACATTATAATATTATAACGCCGGCAGCCTTAAAATTAATATTAGTATTACACTCGCAAAAAAAATTTGTTTGAAACAACCAAATTTTAGTTTAATCAACCACTTAAATGCATTGCTATAAAGTTAACCGAACATTGTTTTCTTCAAACGCAAAATTTATTAAACTAAACCAAATGTTCCAAGATTGCAGCTTTTCCTTTTTCTCTATTACACTGTAAAAAAAGGGAGTTAAATTTTAACTCCCCCGGGGGGTCTATAAAAGTCGCACCCATTGGGGAGTTAATGCCAGGGGAGTTAAATAAAGAGAGTTAAAATTTCACACCCAAATGCTAACTCCCCAAGGAAAAAATAACTCGCGCGGGTGTTGAATGAAGGGAGTTAGAAATTAACTCTCTTTTGGAGTTGATTTTTAACTCAAAAAATTTCACTCCCAACTCCCGAGTCCGTTAACTCCCTAAATTTTTTACAGTGTAATAATATTATTACAGTAATAATATTATTGCGTGTAAGCTTGCTAAAATATTACACGTGCTATTTGGGGTCACTCAGAAAAAAGATATAGGTATTTCACTCAGAGCCATCAAAACTTTTCATTTAATTCAAATAAATTTTAGAAAGTTTCAATAAAATTTTGTTTGTTTCAAATAAAAATTTTATTTATGTCTAAAAAAAATTTAATTTAAAACAAATAAATATCCTCAGGAGGGTTGCAATAAAAAATAAATTTACCCTGAACTTTACCCTGAATTTTCAAATCCATTTATTTACAATTCAATTTTACAAAATATCAATTATTCGGAAATTTTTCAATTAAATATATATTAGAAAATAAAAACTTGAAATAATTTCAAAAAAAAATTCAATCAAAAGTTTACAGAAAAATTAATTCTACTAAGTAGAATTGCTAGTTAAAGGTATGAAACATTCAAATTTTCGAAGTTTTTAATTTGAATCCTTTTCAAAATTCAATTATTTCTAAAAATTCATGCTATAACGCATTTAATATTCAATTACAATAAATAATTTATTGAATAATTGAATATTTCTTAAAATTGAATTCTCATAAAAAATGTTATCAACAAATTTTTAAATAATAGAATTCTTTGTCGACTTCTAATAAAATTTTTAAGAATAATTACATTTTTCGAGGAATTTGATTAAAATTGTACTAAAAATAATTGTAATTCTGCCATGAGTTTTATTGTTTATGATGAAAATAATTGAATTCCTAAAAAAAATTTTAATATTTATGGAAATAATTGAATCCCTGTAAAAAATTTTACTATTTATGAAAATAATTGAATTATTGCGAAGAAATTTATAAAAAATTAACTATAGTAATTTGAATGTTCTTTCATTCATTCACTTTTTCTGTCCCTTACACTCTGAAGTTGTCTTTTGTTTATACTTTTGTTTTTTGTTATCTTCAGATAGATTGTAATATTATATTATTATTATGTAATAATTATTTTTATTTTATAATTAATTCAAAATTGTAATGACAAATAGAAACGATTAGAATTTTTTCACTTTTTTTATTAAAAGACTAAAATTTTGTTAAATATTATGTTTTGTCAAATTAAAATTCTGCAGATTTTTGTTCTTTACTTCCAAACAAAATTAGAAAATTGTTAAACAACTGTGATTAAGGAATAGAAAATTTATTTATTTTGCATTATTTTTGTTTATGAATCACAATTTTTTTCACAAAATTATTATTTTGTTTTAGAAAAAGAAGA